ATTAAAACTGGAGTGGGAAAATATTCCACAAATTTCAAAGAAGAAAAGATGAAAGTCTTATAGAACAAGTTATCTTGATAGCCAAAGATAGGAAATAAAAGCTTTAGGCAACAAGAAGAATTTATGATGGCTGAACCCAAACTGGTTTAACTCAAGGCAAAAACGTATCAACCAACTTGCTTAGTAAACTCAGTTGATGAATAAAAAAGAAGATGTGCTAGAGAAATAAAAAGGAGTTTAAACTAGAAGGCAACAACAAATTTAGATGAGGTCATAAAGGAAAGGACATTTGTAGGGGGAAGGGAAGGATCAGTGTAATTAAAGCAATGGTTTCCCCATGATCAGCTGTGAAGATACTAAAAAAGAACAAGAGAAGGAAGACAGACCAAATTATGGATCTAGAGATGGGTATTAAAGCACCATGGACTATAAGAATCTATCCTGGAACTAATAAAGGTTGTCTGTTCCCTAGAGATGACGATCAACAAGCAAAAATTCATACAGTATAAGGTCACCATGTGATATAAACAGATGATGGACTAGAAAAAAATAGTACTTGGGCAAGATGAAGAAACAGAAGGGGAAGACAATCTATAATTAAATGGACTAAACCTAAGGTCACTGTATGTGTTACAGGCAGTAGTTGATTTACAACCATATGTTTAGCAACAGTTCAAAATTACAACTGCACTGAAAAAAGTGACTTATGGCTGATTTTCACACCTATGACCACTGCAGCATTCCCATGGAATAAAAAAAAAAAGTGGGGAGGGGGGGAAACTCACTTAATAACTGCCTTGCTTAGCACTGAAAATTTTGGGTTCAATTATGGTTGTTAAGTCAAGGACTAGCTATACCTTATTGCTCCATAGTTTGCCCCTTGTACTTTGTTGCTTTGGCTATATGGTCAAATGATCTTAACGCAGAATATCTGTGTATGCTCTTTATTTCCTTGTCTGAAGAAGCTATCTGGGGAAGTCCAAAAACATACACATGTAGTAACATAAAACCAATGACTTGCATTGGTGTAAACTTTATTTATTTACAGCACTCAACTGAACAGCATTTCCTTGTTGCACCAAGCAATCAACATCCACACCATGAAATATCAGTTGGCCATCCAAATGCATGAAAGTGACGGCACTGAAATCCATACAGAAATTGAAATTCCATTTGGTCCATCTCTTTGTGGACATTACAACTTTTCTAAATACAAGATAAGAACAGGGAAAAATTATGATTCTATCGATCTATAGCATCTACTGACTCTAATAGTCTACATGGTGCTGCCAAGTTATAAAGCAATCTTGGAACGAACTGTAGGTTGCGCCTTGATCCACTTCAGCTGCCACATGAAACATGAACACAGCGAAGTATTTGGAGAGTATCAAACTGCTGGGATGTTCCAGCTCTTTCAATCTCCCCCAAGATGGACAGCAAAGGAGAATCCTTCAGCTGTCATCTGGAAAAGAAAACTATACCCGAAAACCCTCAACCATCCCCCAAAAAATCAGGATTTGTTTATCCTAAATAAAACCTGGACATCTGGTTCTGATGAGATTCCAACAAAAATGGAAGAATGCTTCATCTACTGCAACCAGATTGCCCAAACAGCTGAAAGACCCAAGAAGGTAGTTTTAACCAATTTCTACCATCTTCAGTCAATAGAACAGAACAGAATAGCTGGAAGGGACCTTGGAGGTCTTCTAGTCCAGCCCCCTGCTCCAGCAGTGATGGAGCGCCCACATTCTTGAAGGCAAGCTGTTCCACTGGTTAATTGTCCTCACTGTTAGGAAGTTTCTCCTTAATGACAAAGTGGAATTTACTACAGGCCAGCTACAACTTGTACATGCTCAATCTAGATCTTGTAAAAGTTTTTAAGTCCTTATTTCACTTAAATTTACAGGCAGACTTTTGTGATTGAGGAATTGAGAACAAAGACAATGATTTTAAAGCAGCAGGTAACTATTTTGTTAACCTTTACAATTTGGCAGGAGAATAGCATACTGACAATTCTTCCATCTACAATGGAACTATGGCTAGCGACTATCAGAATTTAAGCAAATATTAGTGCTCAAGAAATTGTTTTTCCAATTTGTATCCCATATCCATCTCATCTGGGCTCCTCTATGAATGCCTAATTCAAGTGGCTTTCTTATTATATTTGCTTAAAACATCAATGTTCTCATTTGTCTGTATTTTTTATCAACCATATAATTCTGTGCAAGATAAAAAAAAAATCATGTTGTAGGAAGAAAAATCCATCTGGTTCAGTTCCAAGCTGGGAGAAAGGCACTGGAAATAAAATGGGAGGCTGATTGGAAAGAAAGTTTATTGATAAGCAAAAACCACAGTGTGCAGTTCAGGGACAGCTGACAAATTAGCTTGATGAATGCAAGGACTTTTATACCATTTCTGAAATGCTGCAGGGATTGTGCAATATAGTGAGCCTGGTGTCTTTTGCTATTTTAATAGTGGTGGGTTAATCTTATTATGTCCTAAAAGGTCACCTTCTTTTAGGACATAATAAGGATGTACATTTTAATTCCATCGCTGGAGGTGAAGGTGTTTTGTTTGTCAATAGGCTGGCCCAGGATTTCTTAATGAGCCCAAAATCACCATCTCTAAAGATTTCTGCTGGAGGCTGTTTTACTATGCAGGAAATTAGGGGTGCTTTCTGCCTCTAAGAACATGTTTCTTCATTTCTCTTTTGGGGAAATATAATACTCTGCCTCTTTTAATATTTTCCAAAATATTTTATTCTTCTAGAAGGGGAGGGGCTTCCCACAATGTCATACATAGTGAATTCTTATTCTTATGAAGAATTCTGGAACATTAAGGGGTTGTCTCAACATCAACCATCAAAATTGGACTTGCTTCCATCTTGTTTCAGTTAAGTTCTTCATGTTGCTAATTTCTGTCTAAACAAATATTACGTTTGAAAACCATAGTTTATGGCTTAGCATTGACATATAAATCAGTCTAATGTATTCAGAAAATCTATCAAAACAAAACAAACCATTGTTTAGTATAACGTATAATCTCAACTTCTGTCTTTCTTACACATACAACGCACTAAAGTCACAAGTTATCACAGTCATCTAATATTGATCATCTAAAACTTCTCCATCTAGAATATGAATTCGCTTTTCCAACAAGGCAGCAAAATGTAAGAATTCTGAATATGCACAGGACCTCTAATAACTAAGACCTGCTTTATATTTTATGAAGAATCATTCTTTTCAATATTCTTTGTAAGAAGACAGATGATTTATTTTAAATTAGTATTACTTTATTACTACTACTTTTATAGTACTATGTCTATTTTAAAGTATAGTTTTCAATTCAAAACAGCTAAATGCAGAGTATTTACCTATTATTTTTTAGTACTAATACCAATTATTTTTCTTAGTACTAAGATGAAATATGTTCATTCTCCTACCAAAAAAATCCACCAATATTTTACAACAGCAGATGAAATCATTGTTTCTGCTTCACTTACTTTATTTTAAAGTATTGCCTTTATTTTGTTTTTGCAGATTTGTGAGATGGCAGGGGCAGAAGCATGAAAAAGGTGATACAGATATTTTTAATAAAGCAAAAAAGAAATGGAATCCAAAGGAATCTGGTAGTTTCTTTTCTAACTAGCAAGTTTTACTAAAAGGCATAAGGTCATAACCTTCGTCTGACTGTTTGCTACCATAGACTCTCCTCCTACAAAAGAACCAGGAAGAAGGTATTTACTGTACAAGGTACAAATACATACAGAACACAGTGGCTCCCCACCCTGGCCATAAACTATTTCCTCTGTTACTGCCATTGCTGTCTGTGTATATTTTCCTTATTGCAAGAGCTACACGTTATCATTTAGGGAAAAAAATTGTTTAAGAACTCCAAAGTGGGTCTCAGTTTCATATTAAAAACCATTAAGAATGTGATTGACACAAAATACCCTAAATATCATCAAATGAAAGCCACTGGTAATAAAACTTGCTCTGAGTTCATATAGGACCTTTTTTTTGCAAGTCACAATATAGCACAGGATCACTTCCTCGCTTAAGGAATCGGTAGCACTTTCTTCCAATACAGAACTGCTCACCTCCCATTCCTAATCAAATACAGTAATTATTTTCTGCCAAGCCTGCAGTGTGCCTCAACCCTGAGAAAAAAATTAAAATTTAATTTTAAAAAAATAAAAATAAAAAGCTTGGCCCTACACCTGAACCGAAGCCTATCAATCCCTAGCGTCAGGAAATATTTTGCAACAAATTTTAGGACTACCGAAATTTTAGTTCTCCGAGACAACTTCAGGTAATTATTTACAGCTTTGCAGATGAGGGTCTACAATTTTACCCATTTTATTTTTGTATCCAACGACCTCCACCTGGCGTCAGGCCACCCGCCTTTGGTCGCTTTATTTCGGGGACCCTTTTGTGGGGTCGCCACTTTTAATACCACTAGTATTAACCACAGAACCGTAAGGAGGTGACCAAAATTTGAGGCAGGCGCCGAGCCACACTTGGGGGGAGGGCGGCGCCGCCAAGCCTCGCTCCCGCTCAGTATCTTGAGGGACTTCCTAAAATCAGCCTCGCCGGCCAGCCTCCTTGCCCGGACACTTGATTTTTGCACGCGAGGCGGCAACCTTTAGGCCCTGAATCCTCCGTCCCTCGTGGACGAGCCGCTCGAAAAGTTCCGCCCTGAGCGGGGAGGAGGGAGGGAAGGAGGCGAAACCATGACGGCGGCGGCGGCGTTACTCATCGCCGCTCTGACACCTACATCCCCCGTTCAAGGACACTGCAGCGGGGCTGCCAGCCGGCCGGTTCTTTCGGCTTGCTCCGTCGCGCCTTCCCGCCCGCCCCGAAAAGCGACGGAGCTCATTTTCCCCAGGTGCAAAAAAAAAACAAAAAAACCGGCCAAGGGCAGGTGCGCACGAGGGGAGCCTGCCCCAAAAGCGCCTTTCCCGCGCCAGGCCGCCGAGCTGCGACCCCGCGCCTTTTTACCTTTTTGACCTGGTCATCCTTTAACTCGGTGAAGTAATAGGCCAGCAGCTGAGCGGCAATCATCCTGCAATGAGAGGGAGGCGGGTGGGTGTCCCAGGCGGCTTCGCCGGATAGCAGCCCCGAGAAGAAGGCAACCTCCAAAAAGCTGGCCCGGGAGGATGGAGAAGGAGGCGCGCCGCTTCCCGGCTCTCTGACCACGAGAAAGGATGCGTGGGGAAGAGGGCGGGGAAAAAAGAGACCCCAGCGGTCCTGTGTCCTCAACCCCGCCGCGGAAGGAGAATTTAAAAAATACAAAATAAAAAAAGGATGCTCCTTTCTCTGCCTTTTCCTCCACGCGAGAGTGACTAAGTCGAAAACCTGCCCCCTTCCTGCGCTGCCATTGGCTGAGCCGGGCGAGATGGCCAGGCGGCAGGGCTGGCAAAAAAGAAGCCTCGCCGGCTGGCGGACCCTCGTCGCCTCCTTCTCTCAGCAGGAAGGGGAGGAGGGCCCTCCGGCCATCCCCGAAAAAGGGATCTCCTATCCCGCACGTCCCCCACGTCCTCTAGCCTTCCCGAGCCATCCGGAGAGGTTGCTTCCACAGCGCTCCCCTGGGGAAAGGGAGTTGAGCCGCCAGACAGAGGCGTTTTCTCGCTTCTCCTCCTGCGCCCTTTTTCCCTCTCCGGAAGAAGCCAGGCCGGCGCGTAAAAAAAACGCTCCTCCTTGAGCTCGCCAAGGGAAAGGCGGGTGGGAAACAACACACACCCTGGCGCCTTTTCTGGACCCGGTTGGGGGGGAAAGAGTGGTGGGGAATACGGGGACGCCTTTGAGAAGGTGGAAAATGGCGCCAAAACGGGCCCTCCCCGACCCTGGGGGTTGCCTTGAGGTGTCCTCCTCTTGCCAGGGGGGCTTTGGGTGGGGATCCTTGGCGCGCGCTTTCGGTCTCTGGGGAAATCCGCTACGTGAGATCCCTTGGGAGCCTGGAGGAAAGGCGGAGTAAAAATCTAAAAACGTTGCCCACGGATAAATAGCTAGCTCTGTAAAGATGCGGGCCTATCCGCTCCCTATCCCATTTGCATCCCCCACGTTTTGAGGCACGCATGCACAGATTTCAACCCACCAGTGTTTTGATTCCGACACAATCTGCTGTGTCATAGCAGCGATGCTCGATACTGAGCTGTGTGTTTCTAGAAGTCTAGCAAAGCATCTTTTCTGGGTAACATGATTTATTAAAAGGCTTGAGCTTTCACCAGCAGCAACTCCCGGATAGCTTATGTCTTTTAACAAAAGATGTTAGTCAGGAAAGGTACCACCGGGAGCCTGTTTTTTTTTGTTTTTTAACCACCACAGACTAACATCTCTACCTGTTCCTCCAGAGAGGATTTCTTAGCCCTGAGCTAAACAAAATGAGTTGTGATTTTGCATTCGTTTTCGCACTCCAACTTTCCGGAGTGTTTGCATGAGGATCGTGCAAGCAAATTTTTCCCAGTTTCATTTGGTTTTGAACCCCAAGAAAAGCATGTATTCTACATGCTTAGGGCTTCTGAAGAAATGCATTTTTGCTCTGATCATCCTCGCTGCCACTGCTGCGGGAGAAAAATCACACAATCTGCTGTCTCTCACAAATGAGCGTGGATCAATGTGTACCAAAGAGCCACCATTTCCGCCATGATCATTGCTCTCTATTTTGCTTTAACACTACTGTGCAGGATTTGAACACTTTTTAAAAAGACACTGAAGACATCTAAGCATTTAGTGGCATGAGCATGCACTATAGTTGAATTTTCTGTCCTTACGTCCATGCAACTGCGTTTAGGACTGAGTTGCAGAAATTACATTAGTCATGAGTTTTCTGTTTTCTGGCTTTTGTTGCTACTGTATAAAAAACTAGCTTTAAGGCTAGAACATTTAAGTGTAGGAGTGACATGTCCTAATTTTTTTCTTTGGAATAACTTATATATTTGTATTGATCACTTTTGATATGATCAAATGACTAAATCAATAAAGTTTCTATTCAAATTTCTCTATGGAAATACATTCAAGAGTAGCACTCCTTATTTCTCAGGCAACAGCCAGTGTTGCCCAACTCAAGTATTTTATTTAATTATGTAGTTAATGTTTAATAGCTGCTGGACCACATTCCTGTGCTCCCTCCTCTTCTAAGAGGACCAACTTCCAGCCTTTGATGGCATTAGTGAAAAGAAAGAAAAAGGTAATTGCCATTCGGGTTCTAAAGAACAAGGGAAAAAAGAAAGCCTGATCATGAGAGAGAAAACAATTGCTCAGATGACAAAAAACTCAGAAGCCTCCTTGCAGGTGCTTTAAAGAAATGAAGTAAAACAAAAGTATCAAAAAAATCCAATCGCTGATGTCTACCATCCTTGTGTAATTTGGCCCAAAGGGTTCCTACTTTCAGAAACAGATAAACACTGGCTTCAGGCCTTTATGGTTCTTAAGGTCATAAGATTTTGACAGTATGTGACAATGTGCACGTTCCCACATAGATAAAAGTGAGTGACAAAGCACTTAGAGCACTTACTAAATATGGGAATACACTCTAGGCTTAAATATAGCTTAGATTAGACAGTCATTTCTTACTCGCAGTATTTTGGATGAACTTGAGTAAAATTCTAGGTTCACTATCATAGATTTCTTTTTTAAACTTTATTTGTTCTTGGATTGGGGTGACATGATAACTGTCTTCCAGTACTCGAGCTGTCACAGGCAGGAGGGGGGTCACTTATTCTCCAAAGCACCTGTGGACACCACAAGAAGTAATGGATGGAAGCTGATCAAAGAAAGATCCAACCTAGAATTAAGGGGGGAAATCCTATCAATGAGAACAATTATGGTAATCATTGGAACAGCTTGCCTCCAGAGGTGAGTGCTTCATCACTGAAGGTTTTTTAAGGACAGATTGGACATCCATTTGTCCAAAATGCACTAAGGTCTTCTACGTGGGCAGAGGGTTGGACTAGAAAACTAGCCCTATGATTCTATTGTTCTTTTATTGCTTTTAAAATTGTGACAGAAAACCTAAAACACAAAAATGAAAATGCACACATTGCCAACGAAAAGGAAAAAAACACATTGAAATTATCTTTTAAAAAGAGAAAAAATACAACAAATGAAAAAGATACATTGTTTCAGCTGTAAATAGTTAATATTGATAAATAATGTTTTTAGGTAACTTATATAGAATTGTAATTATTTGCAGTCTCTAGACATCCTTAATGGCTCAACTGTACTCACATGTTCATATGGTCTGATAAATATAGAGTTTTTAAAGCAGCATTCAAGCACAATATTATTCTGTATCCATCAGACATGTGTTTCTCAGTCTGGGAAAGTTTAAGATCTGTGGAATTCCAATTCCCCAGCCAGCATGATATGAAAATTCCAGTATTTAATCACAGGCTTTCAACCTTTTTACACCAATTGAAAGCCTCAGCAATAACCTATGTCTGAATAGGCCTCCCATTTCCTTATTAAAAATGGTATTGATCTGTTTGCTCCATCAAATGGTATTACAACTTACATGGTCTCTTGCAATCAATTTTGGGAAATCGTCTTTGCCTGGAACCCAGTTGGAGACCATTCCTCCCAGAGGTGATATACTGGGAGTATCTTTTCCATATATCAATGTTTCCTCTTATCCGTTGCATAATACAGTTTTTCTAGGGTTTAACAATGTGAACCTTCATGAAGGGGTCTATGAGTGAAGAATTTGGGGATCCCTGACTTAAACCTTTGGCAGCTTCACTTAAGCTTATAAATGAGCCCATTTTGTATAGAACATAATATTAAAGCTGGCAAAGTTTCAGGCAGACAAAGCCTGAACAATAAGTGCACTTCCTGGTCATCAATTAAGTGAGAAACTACTGTGTTTATAATGTAAGCATGAAGAAGAAACTGAGCTATTGCAAAGCCATGGGTGGATTTTAGGTGGTCAACAGCACTGTAATCACAAAGTCAAGCTGTTGTCTTCAGTTTTTATTTTTTAATCTATTTTTCTGTCTGGGAGCATGCCCAGATTTGAACTATAAAGCCTTTATTTCTGAGTTGTAAATGTAGATGTAAATCTTCTGCTAACAATCCCTTGGGGGAAACCATTTTCTCCTAAATTTCACCCCTTATCAGAGGACTTAACGTAGCCATCTAGCCATCACTACAGTTATTTACCCCAATTTCACAGTGCAATTAGAAAACCTCTCTCACTTTCTCTGTTTCTCTGTGCTTCTTCTTTAGTGGCATTCCACAGATAAGATGGATAACTTCCCAGTTTGGTGATTCTCTGCAGAATATGACAGTTGCAGATTCAAGAAAAGACCATGATAAAACCAACCAAGGGGAAATGAGAAATCCTTTATTTTAAGGGGAAATAAAACCAGGTGGATACGTTGGAACACATGTCATCTGCTCCAGGAGTGAGGTTATCTTTATGTTGATGGAATGCATAAAATGTGGTGTAAAATTATTGTCAAAGTAACTGTATGTGGAAGAAAGAGGCCCCATATTTATTTGTACTTTTAAAATGGAAGAATCATAAGCAATCTGAAAAAGTGACAGCAAGCTCACCCATACCCTCTGTTAGCATATGCCTGGGGAAAAAATACAATAACTTTATTGAAAGGCAGCAGAGTAGATGGAGGGGAAAATGTAAGAATCCACCGTGAGACAGATTTCGGTACTTTATTCACATTTCCCATAAGGAGATTTTTATCGGCAGTGCAACTCTTGAAGGGTTCTTTCAGTGGGTAGAAAGATCACACCCATCCAAACTGGAATGGCAATCATGGGAAAAACTATTTTGGTGATATTAGTGAGAAGGACAAGGAGTTCTTTTCAGAAATGCGACACCAGAGGAGACGGCCATCACCCTGACAGTTGGCAGGTCTGCAACGGTCTTTGGTCTTTCGGGGAAAGCAGATTTAAGACTTGCAACATTTAGGGGAACCCAGTATATGCATCTCCCAAATGTCAAATTGCCTAACTATAAGCAGGGGGTAGCTTGTGGTGGGATTTTTTTTTCCTTTGCACAGACTCCTCTTCAAAACTGTTGCTGTTCTTTGAGCAAGGATGTGTTAGACACCACAGACGCAGTGCAAGATTAAACTTTCAGGCTTTATGCCAGCACAAAAGGGGAGGTTGAAGGCCCTTGAGCTAAACCAGGCAAAATTGGCACCTGTCCAAAAATTAATTCACATCACCACTCAGTCTGTCTGGGCAACAAATGGCTCCACTATAAAGTCAGCCAAATGCAATCATTACTAAGAAA